CATTCGGCATGAAATTGCGTAATCATCATCAGGTGCTGTGACCCAAAGATCAACAGAGGTTAGGTGCGCCTTGCATAAAACTTTATCTTGATACATGAGTTTGTAGAGCTAAACAATACTGGTACTGTATCATGTCAGCTGGTCAACAGATTTGTTGAGAATTCCATAGTTTGATAATGCGATTTAATCACAAAAATCCATCATATTTAAATGTTGAAAAAAGGTTTTAACCGCTCGTTAATTGTATTAGTTCCCTTATCTGTCTACACCTAAACAAAAGCATAGATTTGATGTTGAAATTTTAGATTCTTAGCATAGTTGTGGTACTAGTTTGCCTACACCGCTAATTGGTTCGTAGTATTACGAATATAGTTTTTGTTTCATTAATACTGGCCGTTATATCTGTCTACAAATATATAGACGTTTTAAAACCGATCAATTTTAAGACGAGGAAAATATATATCCCATAGCGATTATATAAAGAAAATAAATATGTCACTGCTATTATGTAAAATAATTGGTTTTCTTACTAATTCTAAGATTTGAATTTTTGGCTATGTTTCGAAAAGTTGGAATGTAATTACAACTTTTTAATTTACTCAATATATGTTTCATTGCAGATGCATCAGTTGAAATTTTAGTCGATCAAGAATCATACTTGGAGGATAGTAGCAATACATTACAAAAACACAGGAGAATAAGAACAACATTTACACCGAATCAACTTATAGAACTTGAAACTCTATTTCAGGAAACCCATTATCCTGACCTATATTTGCGTGAAGAAATTGCTATGAAAATTGGATTAACAGAAGCTCGAATACAGGTATTTTTTTAAATAAATTGTATAAAAAAATTTTAATATTAATTTGATATAAAAATAAAAAATATGGTCAATAATTATTCATTGAAATTTTTTACTAATAATAGGATCGGATTAATAGGAATATATTATAATATACAGATTTATATATTAAAGGAATAGAATATAGATTTATACTGGATAATAGATTAGAAATTTTTTGAACCATTTTTGTTTATTTTTAATCAATTTTAATTTACTATTTTAATTTTAATAAATGACTCCTTGTCATTTTTCGTGTACCTGAATATTTTCATCAGTGTAGAACGCCTTTGGTTTATTGGTTAAAATCCTGGCCAAATAATTTTCAGAGGCTCTTCGGTCGGTTAATTTTGTTACTATTAAGAAAGTTTTGCAAAGACCGATATAAATGGTAGTCCGACTTAATCCTACATTCAACTTAATTTAAAACAAATAATAAAATAAAGCATTACCATCTCAAGACATGGCTTTGTCCTATGTGACAGAATGTCTGCCCCGTTTTCTTCATAAATGGAGGTGAGACTTCTAATCATAGATGTAATTATGATTATCAGACATTTCAAAGAGGTAGATAATGTGGAAAGAATTTTGGACTGTAGTTAAAACTCCATTACATTACAGAAGATTTTTGAAGATATTGCAATACCCTACTAGAAATCTTAAGCTCACATTTCAAAACAGTCTATGGAAAATTGATATTTTGTAGTGTGAAAAGATAATAACATATTCAGTTAAAAAATGTATTGAGAATCTTAAAACCCAAATTAGATCACATCGAATTTAGGTATATATTATTAATACTGATTTCGATTACTAGCACTGATTACTAGCACAATTGGTTTTCTTGATATTATTTGTTTTTATATTTAAAAAAAGTTTTTATGAAGAGAAACTAATTTATTTTCTTTTTTCAGGTATGGTTTCAAAATAGAAGAGCCAAATTCAGAAAAGAAGAAAAGCAAAATCAACGTAAATTGCGGGAACATTTTTAATTTAAACGAAAACATAATTAATTTAAAGAATTCTATTAGACTTGTATAAATTAAGATTGTTCCATCCAATTTTTTTTAGTTTACTTAGCTACATAAACGTTTATTACCTATATAAGAACAACATTTGTTTATAATTATATCAAACTTAAAATAAACATAAACCGGTTCTTAATTTATTCATTTCAAAATTCTATGTAGTATTACTTCCAAAATCTCTAACATGAAATATATCATTTTATTTCAAACTGGATTTTAATAAAAAATTTTTATAATAAATATTATACACAAATGAAAATTAAATTTTTTTAATATAAGAAATATGTAAATGTGAATACGAAATAAGTAGAATTAATATAAATAAATAATCTTGTTGAAACAACGAAGATCTTGAAAATTTCGTCTTATATTTTTTATTTAATAATATTATATAATATTAAAAAAAAAACTAAATTATTTTATTTTATATAGACTAGATTTTGTACATTTATTTTAATCTCTACCTTTAATAAATACATTAAAGTTTTGAAAGATATCATCCGTCTTAATGTATATATAGTATATATAAGATGGAATTTCAAATAAATGGATCTTTTTTAAAGTACAGTTAAAAGGGAACTCGAACTTCCCTAAGTCGAATATTTCCACAACTCGAACTCCTATGTACGAACTTTGAATTTTCAACAACTCTTCCTTGTATTTTTTTCTTCATATATCGAATTCCCCTAATTCGAATATTTCCGTAACTGAAAGTAAAAATTCATAGCTTTTTACGACTTTCCTTTAAATTCATCTCCACCTCTCGAATTTTTGTTTTGCGTTTATATTTTCAAATACTTTTATCAGTTACTTTTTTAATTTGCGCTACAATATTGGATTCTAACTTTCGGCAACACTCATTATTGTAAATTTACTTAATGCAATGATAAAGTTGTGCTTATTATCAGTGAAGCAGTAAACTTTCAATCACAAACATGAGTAAAAGAAATTTGAAATGTTTGAAAATTAATTAATTTAATTATTGAAGTAGAAAAAGGTGACAAAGAGAAAAAAGATATAGCCTAAAAATTTCTTCTAACACTTTATTAACGATCTTAAAAAATAAAGACAACTTTGAAAGAGAGTTTTGTAATAATAAACGTAAACGGATGACAATATGTAAATATGATGACGTGGATGAAGCTATATTACAATGGATAATTACTGCAAGAGCAAAAAATCTACCTCTGTTATTAGAGAAAAGGTGAAGAGCAGTTTGCAGACACAATTGCTGCAAATAAAGATGCGATTCAAGACAATTTGAACATTTGTTCATTCCAGAGCAAACGCACTGGATAATATATTTCAATTAAATAATTTAGAAAATTATATAGAAAAAGAACAATAAGTAAACAGAAAACCAATACATATAATCGAATATTTTAATTAAAAATTTTGTGTGTATATTCAAATTATTTAATACTATGGTTGGTTAAAAGTAACTGAATATTTTAAATAAAAAAAAATTTGGTGGAAACCAAAAAAAGTGTTTTCATTATAACTCAAATTTTCCCTAACTCGAACTTTTTTGCCGTCCCCTTGACGATTCGAGTTAGGTGAATTTCACTGTAGTTATTTGTAAGAAAGGCATGTAGTAAGAATTCTAAATCATTACTGACCCTAAATGTACTAAATTTAGTACAAGCAATAGATTTGTGAACTAAACATCACATTCGCCCGACTACTAATTCAACACCAATAAATTTGATTGATTCTCTCAGTTCAAAAGTTAGTCCAAAAATTAAGTTGTAGAACGTCAACGTAGCTACAACTATGTATATAAATATAATTATACATATATATACATACATATAAATATAATTATAATGAAAATATAAATTAAAACGTTAAATCGATAATGCATTGTATAGTTTGATCTTTATTGCTCACCAATAACTTTTATTGACCACCGGCTTAAATTTTACTCCAAATTTGAATTGTTTGGGGGTCAACTTCATGGTGACAACAGTAATTATAATTAAAAACGCTTAATCAAACAAAGAATATACAAAAAAAACTATAAGTATATGGTTTTCTTTAATTCACACTTTCTGCGGTAATTTAACCTATTTTCCTTCCTATTAAGCAACAGCATATCACTCCAAGCTTTCGTTTTTACAGTGTGATAAATTTTTTGTACAGTACGAATTGACACATAACTATCACAAAGTATTTCTTCATTGTAATAAAAACAGAACCGGAAGAGGTGGAAAAAGTTAAATTATATTTACAGCAAAACGTTTTTATTTCTCTTAATATATCCTTATTTATTATTTTTTTAAACGCTTTAAATTTTAAATTAAATATTGAAAGTTAAAATTACAACACTTTGCAGTAAAAATCAGGTCTGATGTTTCACTGAATACTACTATCAGATGTTAGACTTGATACCTCAGTAATAAGTTAACTCGGTAACTCAGTAACGTTATTTGACAAGAAAATAATACAGGGAACAAAAAAAGATAATATATACAAAAAACGCAAGTTTTACTTTATTTTTAATTTTTTTTCATTTCTTGTAAAAATCCTTATTTTATATAAAACAATACAAACAAAAATAAAATCACTTACGTAGATAGCTTAATTTTGCAACTTTATCGAGAAAGAATTCAGATTTGCGCTCAAGCCATTTTTCAACTTTTACAAATTACAAAACTACGTCTAAATAACAAGCACATCTGAATACCGCTGCTTTTTTAAATATAAATCGTAAAAGAATTCTCTAATATCTTAATATCTTATAATATTGTTCAAATGTTTTTACTATCCTACTTAACAGAATTAATTTTTGTTATCATGTTAACAAAATATAGATAAAAATTAATCTTTGGTATTCGTGAATAAATAGTTTTATAACATAACAACCTTTTCTGAAATTAAGAATTTTAATATTCATAACGTTTTAACATTATTCACTTAAATTGGCCCTTAAATTATCTAAATATTTTGGTATAAAAATATTTTTTATAGTTTATAGTTTTACAGTTTTTTTTTATACATTTTAGAGCTTCATTGAAAACCTTTATGTATTTTTTCACACCTTCAGTTTCTGCCAATATTCTTTGCTTCAATTTTCATCATGGAAATTTGTTGTGTTGTGTTGCATGATTTCATCGTTTCTATAACTATGAAGATACACCTTGCATACACATATTATACATGTACAGAATATTATTATTAAATATTAGCGATAAAGTGGCATCATCGTTTTAAATTAAAATAAATTCATGTATGGACTAAGTTGAAGTGAACAGGTTAATATTTGTTATATTTGTGTATAAATATACTTATCATCGCCTAAATAGAAAATAAATGTATTTAAGTAGAATTAAGCAAATTGCTTCAGACTGTAATTAAATGGATAAGAATTGTATCAAACGCTCCATTGATACCAACGATGATGACAACAACAAGAAAATTAAAATTGATATCAGTGGAAGCAAACTAATATGGAACTATACAGATAATCCAAATATAATACAAGCAAAAACAATTGATGAATCCCTGCAAGATGAAGCAAATAAACAGAAAAGTGAAACTTCAACCAGCACCGAATTCAGTGTCTACTCGGATGAAAAATTGCAAGTTGATAAAGATATCAAGAATTTGAACAACTCTGTTAAAGCTGACCGATCAAATGAATGCGTTGTTTTTGCGCCAAACATAATGGAATTTACAGAGTCTAAAGATAAGGACAATAAAAACATAACGTCCAGTGCTACGACCAGTACTACTTCATTAACAGACTTTAGTCATATATCATTGACGAACACTCCACAAAAAATAACCAGAAATGACATAACTTCATCAACCATTAGCACCAGTGACACAATAAATATATCATCATTTCCAGGCTCATCATCCGATGAAATTGAATTAGTTTTAATACCCTCATCACAAGAGTTAAGCATTGCAAATTTTCAAAAGAAAACCGATAACAATGGTAAAAAAAATTTGCCCGCGAATATTAATATTATACGACAGAGTGCTCCATCGTATAGTAGAATTACTACTTTAAATTCTAATACCGGTGTTCAATCCACACCAGGCTTGTGGAATAGGGTAACATTACATTCTACTTTAAGAAATCAACCTATAATGGTTGCGTCTAAGAAACTACCGCCCGAAGTCACCCAAACAACTGCTAAAGTTTCAATAGGGAACACAACAATTTCAGTACCTTTGCTAAAACCACTCAACTCCACCTCACTTATAACGCCTAATATAACTCCTGATAACCAGAAAAACACTCAGCCCCCTAACATTGCACAACAGCAGCAACAACAAAATACAATAAATGTCAACAATTTTGTAAACGTTAAACGTGGACCTAAAATAACGCATCCAACTATTGTGTCATTATCACAGCTGCAAATTAAACCAGTATCTACAGCTAAAATAGTGCAAGCTAAAGTGTTAAGTAAAAAAGTGCCTATTATTATACCTCAAACATCACTAACAATGCAAAACTCTGTACAAGCTACTCCAGGCGTTATTACAATAACTGCAACTAAACCCAAACAAAATATTGGCGATGATTCAACACAAAATACTATTACACCAATAACGATTTCTAGAGACAACGCAGCATGTATAATGGTGGAAAAGAAGGACTTAAGTACAGAAACTTCAATAGCTGAAATAATAAAAAAAAATGAATTTGGGGCTACATTGGAGAGTAATAGAAAAACTCTTCCATTCAAAACTGTAGTCAAGGAAAAATCAGTTATGGAAGAAACAAACTTTTCAAATAGAACAGAAGTGTCTTTATCTGAAGATATTAAAAGGAAAATAGTGAATCGCAATGAAGGTCTTTTAACATTCTGCTCAGAAATAAAACCAGCAAACCCAAAAGAGATTTTAGTACAACAACAATCAAAAACCCTAAAATATACTACTTATACAAATATGCGAGCACCAGCTCAACAATATACAAATAAAATCGGAACAAACTCGACTGTAATTCCAAGTTCGACAATTGACTCCCATACAAATACTACGCTAACAAGTGATAATATCGCAGCAAAATTACATACCACACCATTAATAAGTATACCCAAAAATATATCCTTAGTAATAGCGAAAAGTAATATTACCCAGCAACAAAAGTCAAACATTAGTAATACTGTTACCTGTACAGATGCCTTTAAGAAAAAACTTAATGTAACCAAACCTGTAACATTAACCGCATTAACAACAACTCAACTAAAGACAACATCACAATCCGTAGAGATAGCACAGAATACAACTTCAGTTTCTCTAGCACTACAATCAAATAATGTTAAAACTGTGGATAGCGGCCTAGAAAGAAAAAAGTTGAATTTAGATACGGCTAATATAAATCAAAATCAAAAGCAGTATAAAAGTACATTAAAAACATTTGAGGAGAAAAAATTTGATACCGATAAAGCCATAGAAACAAAAAACATTTCTATTGAAAGTACAGAGCTATCTAATATAATTGCTAATAGTAATGTTACAAATACAACAGAATTGGACAACAATCAAATAATTGATAATACATATGAAACAAAAAGTTATCAACATATGCAAGAAGGTGAACCAAACACAGTGCAAATTTCAGTGCCTAAATTAGAGGACTCACAAAACGTTCTACTTAAGCAATTACTACAAAATTCTAACGCAATTCAAAAAACTGATATAACTTCAAATTCTAATGCGGCATCAGTTTCAAAAGGCTCAACACTACTCTTGTGTAATAACATTCCATCAGCACGCAAAGTGGGCAACGTACGTGCTCCATGTTTAGGTTTAGTAAGTTCATTAGAAGCCCAACTTGCTCGGCCAGTCATACCTCCTGTGCCTGCTACAGCCGCATCTCCAGTAAATTATCCGCAGCAGGTCGTGACAAAAACTGAAAACAACCCTGCTACGAATCAAAACCAAGATATAAGCACGGAAGAATCTGATATCATTCAAAATAAAGTTAAACTTAAAACAAGCAATATCATTTCTAAAGAAACGTCTTTTGTATCTAATCCAAATATATCTCACGAACTACCAGAAAACCTTTTTTCCGTACAAATGACAGTACCAGAATATGAATCTGAATTATCCAGCAATCATTCAGTTCCAATACAAAGATCATTATCAAATAATGAAATAAGTCAAAAAGAATTGCCGCCAAATGTCAGTTTAGCTGTATCAGAAAATAATCAATCCCTGTCGAGCATGAATAAAGAAGTAAAATGCAAAAACACTAGCTCTGTTAACATTTCTAGCATTAAATCTACGGATACTAAAAATTTTGGGTATATAAAATTATTTTTCTTATTATTACATATACTAATATATTATATTTATTTTTAATATTACAGAAAAGATCAGATACTAAATATCACTTCTACGGAACACAATATACCAATTAAAACAACAATTGTAAGTGATCAGCGTACTTACAACATACAACAAATTACAAATACATCAGCACAAAATTCTACAGTAAATGTGAATAAATTAGATAGTGCACCTAAGGATGTTTCCAATAATATAACTGTCTCTAAGACGATTGAGCCACCTAAAACAATTAACACAACGCAGTTAGTGAGCTCTGTAGCCACGAATAACTTACTTATACAAAAACAGAACACTAGACCTTCTCCAGTAGAATGTAGCAATATTATAAAACCTGAAAGTGGTTTTATTGATCTGGAATTAAGAAAAAAAAGAAAACGAGATTATCAAAAGCAGCGTCGTCAACTCACAAATAATGCAAATAAAATATTGGCACAAACTGCTGCGGAGCCTGCAACAACAGTACCAAATGCACTTGCTGGTAAGAAACGACAAAGAAAAATATCTAAAATGGAGGAAGATCATGATAGTTATGTTGATAATTTAATGGGTCATATTCGTCAGATGCAGCCACTCCAAGTGCTTGAACCATTGCTCAATCGAACTTATGGTGCATGCTCATTGTATGGTGCGTATAGCAACTCGACACGTGGTACACGAAACATAAAAGAGTACAAGGAACAAGCAATGGATTGTTCTGATGAATATGGGAAAGCACTAAGAACTCATGTAACATCATTATACGATGCAAAACGTTTTAGTGGTTCCGAATCTAATGAAGATAAACATTTACCAACAATTCAGAATGATTTTTACGATCAAGAGTTCTCACCACTCATATACAAAAATGATTATGAGAATTTTATACGTTTTGTAACAAGCATTAATGAAAGAAATATTGAACCAATAGATATAACTAATGGTGAAAATAATATCACACGTCTAAGATATTGTTCGGAAGATAAGTGTACGGGTCGATGTAATTTGTTATATTCTTCACATCCTGGAATATGTACAGTAAGCGAAAAATTTAATCATTGTTTGGATCGTATGTCTCCTATAATACCTTTAGTTCAACCAACTTTATTTAAAAAGAAATCAGTAAACATGATTTTAAAGCAAACATTAAAGAAAATTGACAAGTCACAAGAAAAAAAATGTGAAAACGATACATTTATGAGGTTCGTAACAATAATTTTGTTTAATAATTTACAAATTATTTATCTAAATATATAAATATATGTTAACCTATATAAATCAATTTGAATATTTTACAGAAAACAGGAAAAAGAAGTAAAAACAGGAAAAAAAAATGTTATTTTATCAATATCAATGGCAAATGCAAATCATATTTTACGAATTTTGAAGGACCTGGCCAACATTCTTAATATTACTCCTCCCACAAGTTATAAAATAATTGACAAACCTCCAGATGTTAATAATCAAGAAACAATTTCTACTAATGGAAAATCAAAGTCAAAATCTATAAGCATGCAAAAAATATTAAATGGTTCTGTTAAAATATGCAGATTTTGTGGAGATAACATTAAACGCTTTGGTGTACAAAATCAACAAAATAAATTTAATTCTAAAAAGTCTATCAACTCGTCAAAGCAAAGTTCGAAATTGATATTTTGTAATAAAATATGCTATGTTAATTTCTTAGCAAGTGAAAAGAACCAGTCAACAGAAAACCCACAGAAATTCAAACCATTTAAATTACCAAAAGCGTTAAAGTTTGATAATGAACCTGGTCCTGGTGCTGTAGAAACGTCTTGCAACTTAAATCCGTTATTATCAGAGAGTAGTATTAATACAAATGTACCAAACCAAATAAAATTTAAATATTATAGCAAAAATTGCTTTCAAAATGATGTGCAAAACAATAGTAGCAGAGTGGAAAAGGGTGAAGAGCAATTTGAAACAACTTCTTTAGCGAAAAGTAATCTTTCTGCCTTATTGAACAAAAATATTAAAAGCACAGCACCTGACACTCGACAATGTGTTCTATGTAGTCAAAGAGGTGATGGCTGGCCCAATGGTCCATCCAGATTGCTAAATTTTGACGTCGATAAATGGGTATTTATATATTTATATGTTAATATATAGTTTTACTAATATCTTATTTTAATTGAAGGTACATTTAAATTGTGCTTTATGGTCTAATGGCGTTTACGAAACGCTAAGTGGTGGACTGATGAATTTTCCATCTGCGTTGCATATATCATTTAATCAATATTGTACATCTTGCCAAAAAATTGGAGCTACAATTAAATGTTTTAAAACAAGATGCAATGCAGTGTATCATCTTGCCTGCGCTATTAAGGAACAATGTGCCTTTTATAAAAACAAAACTATAATCTGCCAGACACATACTCTCCGCACGGAAAAAGAGAATGAAATATCTTCGTTAATTGTGCATCGACGTGTGTTTATAGACAGAGATGAAGTACGTCAAATGTCCAATGTAATGTATCATCATGATAGTAGCAACTTATTGCGGATAGGAAGTCTTACACTTTTGAATATGGGCCAACTTCTACCGCATCAATTGCATTCATTTCACACAGCAGATTGTATATATCCTATTGGATACAAATCCGTAAGTACATTCAGTTCATTAGAAATTACTTAATATGAATTATGTAGATTTAAAGTACATAACATATGACGAAGTTATATAAATTTAAATAAAAATCACAATTCTACGTCGAAAGCTCCCAGTCATATCAGGGATTAGGAAATTCTCAACGAAACTAATTTTAGCCTTCATAAGAAAATAATAATGATTTCTGTTGGGCTAGGATCTCTAATGGAAACCTACAACCTTATTATTTTCTTATGACAGTTTTCGATTGGTAAATTTGGATTCAATCTAGATTTACTCTAAATCTAACAAAATCGAACATTTTTAGAGTAATATAACATTTTTGTAGTCGTTCTTCATTGATACATATATCGAATAAATCACAATTTATCTGTCAAATCATATGAAGCAGCTGTCAATTTAAGGGTAATCTTGCTATTCTGGCAAAATATCTATAGAGTTATATATTAATCTCTAGTGTTATACATTTTGCCACAGATTTACCAATCGAAAATGAATATTGCACTAAAAGTGCATCTTGATTGAAAAAATGACACCAGATTATCCATATTCTTTAAATATTTGAAACAAATAATTGAAGTTTGTATATAATTCTAGAAATGAATATTTGTGAGAGTGCGACTAAAAATTTATTTATGTTTTTATTTAGATTCGTATTTATTGGTCAATGAAACACGTTAATCAACGATCCCGCTACGTATGTTCTATAGCTGAAGTCGCCGGTCGTCCAGAATTTCGTATTCAAATAGATGATCCATCGGAAAAGGATGTTGAATTCCGAGCTGAAACACCGAAAGCCGCTTGGAGACCAATTTTAGAATCCATTGTAAGAATGCGAAACGAGAACAAGTTATTACAACTTTTTCCTCAGTTCATAGCGGGTGAAGATCTTTTTGGTCTCACAGAACCATCGATAGTGCGTATTTTGGAAAGTTTGCCTGGTGTGGAAACGTTAACGGAGTATCGGTTTAAATATGGTCGAAACCACTTATTAGAACTACCATTAGCCATTAATCCTTCTGGTGCTGCCCGTACTGAACAAAAGCAACGCCAGTTGCTCTGCTTACGAAAACCACATACACAGCGTACAAGTACAGCTTTTCGTATAACAAACAATACACCTGTTGTTGTAGCTGGTGAAGTTGCATGTCCTTATAGTAAACAATTTGTGCACTCTAAGAGTTCTCAATATAAAAAAATGAAGCAAGAATGGCGCTATAATGTGTATTTGGCAAGGTTAATAATTAAAAATGATTTTGTTAATTTAATATAACAAATTATCTGTGTACAATTTCAGATCTAAAATTCAGGGTCTAGGTTTATATGCAGCCCGAGATATAGAAAGACATACTATGATAATCGAATACATTGGGGAAGTTATACGCACAGAAGTTTCCGAAATAAGAGAAAAGCAATACGAAGCAAAAGTAATATAATAACATGGAATACATGAAAATAATATTTTTTAAAAATTTGTATTTATAATTTTAGAATCGCGGCATATATATGTTTCGCTTAGATGAAAATAGAGTTGTAGATGCTACTTTATCAGGAGGCTTGGCTAGATACATAAATCATTCGTGCAATCCAAACTGTGTCACTGAAATAGTTGAAGTAGACCGCGAAGTGCGTATAATAATATTTGCTAAGCGTAGAATAAGCAGAGGGGAAGAGGTATATTTTCAACTTTTTGGTTTTTTAATCTTTCAATTTCATTTGGATTTTTTTTTTAAAGCTTTCATATGATTACAAATTTGATATTGAGGACGATGCTAATAAAATTCAATGCATGTGTGGAGCTTCTAATTGTCAGAAATGGATGAATTAATATTATTAATATTGAATATCATTATTTTTTAAATATATATATATATATATAGAGTTTAATTGTAAGCAATTAGTTATAGGTATTAATATGTATAGATCATATAGTTTTGTTATATAATATATATATATATACATATGTATATATTAATAAAATATTTAAATACGAAATACGATCTTTTGGTGTTTTATAAATAGATTTACATACATACAAAAACTTTATGCACTGTATAACATTTGTGATAGTGCATATTCTCTTTGAGATATCGTTTTCCATCTACGCTTTATTAGCACTGCGTAATCTATCGCATATTCTTCATATGATTGTCTATGTAAAAAAATATGGAACTAATTAAATTAGATACTACTAACAGATAAATTATTTGTGAATATTAATAACCAGGTAGCAAATAATTCGTTTAAAAGTTTTTGTAAGAATTAAACTGCATTTATTTAAAGCTTTTGAAATTAACTGCCTATTCACAAAAATTTTAGAGACTGCTTATTTAAATATGATTATTATTAAACAGAGCCGTTGTCAGTGTACCTGGTCCTTTGAGTTATATTATGCTATTCTAGATAAAAGTCTCTTAAGATAACCTGGACAAATTAAAGCTGTTGATAAACCTAATAAAATTCCTTAATTCAAGACTTAAATTTTCATATGATTTAACAATGACTTCGATTCCGATTTTTAAAAGATGCTACTTAAAAGGAACATGTCCATTTAAGAAACCAGTGATTAATCTGAGTTCATTTTACACTGAGAAACTATTAAATCTTCTTTAAAAAAAACTCATAACTCAAACTAAATGTATAGCTGTAACTAAATAATACAATGGATACAAACACAATAATTTTTTATAGTTTTTTTGTTTGCAAATTCCATATTTAACGTGTTAAAAATTTATTAAAACACAAGACTGTTCAATTAAAAAATACAATAAATAAAAATTACAGACAACATAAAGTTCTAACAAAAAAATAAATAAATATATGTGTATATATTTATCTCTAAACATGTAAAATAATATTTATTTCGAATAAGTTAGTTTAACTTAAAATTATTTACTTATATTTGTGTAAAATTTATTAGTTGGATCCATTTACGTTTTTTGATATAGTATTATTAGTGTTTATTATGTACATCGACTTGTTAGCATCTCGTTCACTTCCATAAATTTTACCAGCTTTTTTGGCCATTGAACCTAAAAGTTCCTGTGAAACTTTATGAGCTGATTTTAAAGAAGAGGCCCATTCCTTTAAACCAATTTCATCCTATAATAAAATATATATTCATTATTAGATAATTTTATATATATACAAATATAAATTTAATAAAATTCTTACAGAGTTCGTTAAAATAATTCTACCATCACGCGTACCGTCATTGATACGTATTTGAATACATTGCTCTCCTTTATAAACAATAAAATCTGAAGAAATATCCTCAACTTGATCCATAAAAATCAATTCAGGCTTATTGTTTCCACTCTCAGAATGCAATTCTAGACTAAAATCAAAAATACAATAATTAATATATACAAGTATATTCAATATTTAAATATATAACGAAAGAAAAATTTACCGATTCGGATATAATTTAGCATATTTCGTTTGCCATAACGATGCAAAAGATCCCACCAATTTCTTTATATAACCATGTAAAATGCAATCGGACTCCTTTTCGTCGGCATCAAAATGCTGCTTTTGCTTAGCTCTTTTCTTCTGTTCAATTTTATCGGTTTCTATATTAACTGTTTCAAATACTGTTTCGGATACTTCCTGTTGCCACCTATAAATATATTTATATATATTTAATTAACTTTGCTAATAAATTAAACAAAGAGATTTAAAGTAATATCAATTTAGGTGTGAAAATATCTTTAGCAGGATCATGATTGTAACCTTTGGTGTCAAAGAATTCACTGTTTCAGTTGCAAACTCACACAGATTAGAATCCAACACTTTATCAAATTCATTACCATCATTACCAGAAACCCTCATTCAAGCAGTTCTGTTTAAAACTCTCTTAACTTTCAACTGTAGACAACATCTTTTGAAGCACTCAAGCACTTTTGGGCATGCAATATTACTGTTTTTTTGAGTAACTAGCAAATAAGAAAGGTACAGTTGCTCTTTAGGAAAGATATGAAGAATGCTGCTATATAAGACCTTACTTTATATTATAAAAACATCGCAGGCATTTTTCATTATACTATTTTGCAGTACTTTACTACTGTCTCTTTCTAATCCCCAAAAATAGAATACGGGCAGCACATAATTCATGTGCTTCAGTTTTTTGAGTAACTAGTAAATAGGAAAACTACAGTTGCTCTTTATCATAGGTACGAAGAATGCTGCTATATAAGGTCTTGGTCTAAAATATAATAACATCGCAGGCATTTTTCATTATACTATTTTGCCGAACTTTACTACTGCCTCTTTCTAATCCCCAAAAATAGAACACGAGCGCATAATTCATTTAATATAAAGATAATATTAAGATAAAGCATATTACAACATAAAATAATACATATATATATTAATATATAAATTTGTAGTATTAGGAACTAAGTTTAATAAATAAGTTTAAATTTAATAATACACACCTTTCAGATATTGTTAATGGGAAAAATTTATAAAGTTCTTGATCGCTTTCTGTTAGTTTAATTCCCTTTGTATCTTCTTCGTCGAAAGAGCCAATATCGAACGCATCGGCGGCATTTACTTCTCCTCTAGGTGGTATTAATGGCGGTGTATATTTTTGCATATAAACTTGATTCCAGTCTATACCAGAAAAGAATGGATGCATTTTTACTTCATCAGCACTAAAAAGATTTTTATATATATGTGTTATAACCATGTAAATCATAAATATACCCGTTTCCCATACAACCGAGACGTTTTACAATATCTCGTTGTAATAACAAATCTAAAAGATTCTTGAGTTCAGGAGTAAATGAATCTGGTAATTCAACATTCTAAATTAAGAAACATATACAAAAGCTTATATATTAATCAGTAATAATGCATATAAATTATAAACACACCATTGTCAAAGTCATTCTATCAATTTCGTGTTTATCTTTAGTTTTGTGTTGCCTAAACGGCGAATGACCTTTGAGTAATTTATATAGCATACAACCAAAGCTAAACCAGTCAGCGCAAGAATCGTATGGTGTTCCTTTGGAGAGAACTTCTGGAGCCATATATCCATGAGTTCCAACAGAAGCGTGCGGTTTTTTTCGCGAGAAATCGCACGCTAGACCTAAATCAGAGATGCGTACATGACCATTCTCATCTAGCAAAATATTTGCTGGCTTTAAATCTCTATAAACTATAAAACGTTTGTGCATATGTTCTAAGCCTAAGATAACCTAAAAATAAGCGTATAATAGTAATTTAAATGTATCAAACCAATAAATTAATAAATATACTTCTGCAGCATAAAATTTCATTTCATCTTCATTAAAAACTCCATGTTGTGATAGATGATAATGCAAATCTCCACCATTCATTAGATCTAAGATGAAACATAATTTGTCGGGGGTGTGAAATGCATATGTCATACAAACAATAAATGGGCAATCCATCTGTAAAAATATATATATTATAGGATATTTATATTAGATTATAGCAACGTATCTAAATTTGCATACACACCCCTGTACTAACTATCTGTAACATAGTTCGTTCGTTTAGAGCTAATGTTTCGCCCTGTTTCATTTTAATACGTTTTTTATCTAAACATTTCATTGCATACATTTTACCGGTATCAGCTTTTCTGCATCCATAAACTTCTCCAAAACCACCACGTCCAATTATTCTATGTACACTAAAGTCGTTCATCGTTAACTGAAATAAATTACATTGGAAAATGATTTCATGTTGTGATGATAAAGTATTCATCAAATCAACTAACTTGAATGTTGAGCTCTAAATTTTTCCACTGACAAAATCTGGTAAATTTGTCACTAAATGTTATAAATTATAAATTGTATTTTGTTATTTCTTCTTTAGAAATATTGTATGTAAGACTTACCTTTCCAAAAATTTTTTAAATGGCCTGCCTTTCAAGTGATTAAAAATCTCCTCTATGTAAGGCTTAAAAGTGGAATATTTTAAAATTTATATATTTTTTTAAATTCAAATTAAAGTATTTATCATATTTTAAAACTCAATATAAAAATCCTAAAATACTTTTAAAATACATAGACTATAACATAGTTTTATTATTTAGGATTGTATTTAAGATAAATACAAAAATAAAAGTAAAATGTAGAATTGAAATAAATTAATTATTATATATTTAATATATGATTGCTTATTCCAGTTTTAAATAATATTTACTAGATTTTTAGTTGTTAATAAATATTAAAAAATTATAAGCTCTTAAAAAAAACTATAAACTATGAATTCTGCAAATTTTTATAAATAACAACAAGTTTATTTAATTAAAAATTTTGAAAAATATACATATTTATGTATATAATATATATAAAAATATATAATATATAAATAAATATATTTATACAATGAGAGATAATGGCGTAATCAGGATTGTGTTAAGGCGGAATATACAATCCATTCAGACTTATATCAGAATTGAATAATTTTATTAGCTATAAACTATATTGCAAAAGGTGAGACCTATTCCATAGCCCAACTTCCAAAATACGACACTGATCGCATGAATTGTTGGTCTCTGTAGAGATCACATATTTTAAAATAGGATTACAATTACTTGTAACATTTTATTCAAATTATAATATATACATAAAAATAAAGAAATGCGCAAATATAATATACATTTACATACAAATAAAGTACATATTAATATTTTATAAAAAATGAATTTCACATACCTCAAATAAATTCAAAGGAACTTCATTTTTGAGTAAATATTTTTGAACGCTAGCAACTGCCTCCTTTGAATACTCCTTTAGAAATAGAAAGAAGAATTTATTATATAGATTAAATGTAATTTTCATATTTAAAGAATATGGGTCTATGTTATTTTTAATACATTTTTATATGAAATTTTTTTAAAAAAAATTATACTAATGTTGTTTTAATTAATCTTATGGTATTGTATAGAAATAATGTGTTTTGTAATAATTAATTAAATCAAATTTAAGTTTACTGCGCTTAAGGTCAGTTAATAAGTAAACTTATTAATTTTTGTTAGTTTGTAATACGTTTTAAAAAAATTATTTTTTATACAAATATTACGAGTTACTTCGTAAACCATCCTCAATGTACAAGTTTCAACAAAAATTAGTGTGTTATTTATTAACAATTTCATTGTTAAATAACTGACATTAAGCCTGGTGAAATTAAATTTTATTGAAATATAAGTTGTTATAATAATTAAGAATTTATTAAACTTACATAAGTATGTGAGAGCATTTCCTCCATTATAAAATTGTCATATATTTCTCGAGCTAATATTTTTCTTTCATCATAACACTCTGTTTTTTCGAATTTTTTGATCTGTATAAAAATGTGAATATTTTAAATTAAGCAAATAAAATTTGAGTTAAAATTAATTAAATAATAATAATTAAAGAAATTACCTGTTCATAAAATTTTAGTTGCTGTATAGGTTCTTCCGAATCGTTTTCACAAAAATCTTTAAATAATATATATCCTACAAAATTTAAATATAAAATATATTTTTCTTTATATTGACAGTGTGTTAGGAAACAAACCTAGTACTTGATTGAATATTTTGTGAAATGTTAGTTCATTCTCCTTTTCTAAATACTTTTGCATCACGCTACGCACGCTATATAAATATATTAAAAATAATTAAAAGGTATTAAAGGATGTTTATGTTTATTTAAAGGATGTTATGTTTATTTAAAAAAAATTAAAATTATTGTGTAGAGTGTTTTTATTACTGGTAATATTCATGCCAGTAATAAGTAATATTCATAATATTTATAAGCAACACTACTTGATATTTATAATGATATATCTATTAAACATTATTATTAAAATATTTTAAAAGAAACTACTTTATAATATAAATTACATACTACATTAATATACATTAATAATACACTTACATATTATAAACAAAAGATACTTGCAGAAAAATAAAGCAGTGATACATATACATATACGTGATAAGAATATTCTGTTCTATAAGAAACCTTCTTTGATATCATAAGTTAGAAAGCATATGCATGAAGGAAATTATCGAGATAAAAAACATGTTCGTAATATATTATGAGCAACTCATTGAAATCATTTATTTCACAAACTATGATTAAAAATGTATATATACGATGATGTAGAGCTGATAGTACAGGCAGCTAGTGCCTGACTTCTGTTTACTTGAATGATTTTGTATTTTCGAATTAATTATAATAAATAAATAAACATAAAAATAAGAACTTAATTGTTTTATATTATTTAATTAGAAATTTTGAGTTGCTCTCTATTTTCTACTGCTTTTTGCAATATATTTGACCTACATAACTGATATTAAATTGGAATACATATACGATACACGCAAGTTAGACAATAACACAATAATTTGATTAAACTTTAAATACGAGATAACTAAATTTCATGATTATTACTGAAATAAAGTCTAATTATTATTTATATAATTAAAATTTGAATATTATTTTCCTAAACTGCTAATTAATAGACTTAATGAACAATAATATACTTATCTTGTTAATATAAAATTATAGGAAAAAAAATGTGAAAATTATGTGAGGGCATAGATAGATTACACATTTCAATTACCTGGGATCAGGTAAAAATAATTTTTTACTAGCTCTCGCCGCAGGAGTACATTTTGATTTCTCCATAGCCATTAAATAACTAACATCAGCCAACACAGCCTCCAAATCAGCCATTGTGTATGACACTATTTTACAATGGAATAAAAATTATTTCTTTAATTTGCTAAAATGTATGTGTATACAGATAACTTATATACTTTAACATACATATTTCTTAGCCAAGTTGCACAAAATTTTATCTGGAGAACAAATCAACAATCATATGAGTAAGAATACGTCTTACTTATTATTTACGTGTTTATAAATTTTACATAGTATTAAAGATATAAATACACATTTGTTTGAAAATTGTGTATATTACTACATATTTCAGCTTTCAAATCAGGGATGATAAACTTTTCTACTTCTCATCATCGATAAGTTTAGAGAAATAGAACACAGACTGATTTGCAATTTTAAAAGTTAAGTTCTTTGTTCAAATGGTACATATTAATGTGTTTTACAACGATTCCATTACTATATATAATATATGTTAACTTTTTTATGAAATAAATATATTAATTACATTTTTGTTTTCATAATTTTTAAAGTTATTATGTTCCATACATATAAAAATCATTATTCTGCATGACTTTTAGAATTTAACATATGCTAATGAATAATTATTTATATTTAATATATCATTATATTCGAAAACGTTATCTACAAATTTTAAATAGTATGTCTAAAGGATATTTTTTTTATTTTTTTATATGCGCTATAGGATTAAAAAAAAACATATGTTATACATATATATGAATATGAAATATTATGGCCACCACCTAGGTGCAATACCAATATTATCGCGATAACTAATTACTCATTTCAAGTCAATCTGAGAACGGTTTGTTATAGTCAATAAGTTAGTGTTCCTGTTAATAAAAACAAGAAAATCATTTTTAATCTGGGTTTTATTTTACGTGTACTTAGATAGCAACAAATAATTACAAATCAATTCATGACAATTTGGATTAAATTTGTAATATATATAATACAATTATATTAAACTTTCTGATTGTTTATATTTATATATTATATACTATGGTTGATTAACGCAATGAATTAAAGAATCGTTTTAGTGTGTTCAAGTCTCACACTGTATATTTATATTATAAAATGGAAAAAATAATGTATATTGAAAACTTTATAATAAATTTATTAATCAGAAACAAAAAAAACTTAATAATATAGCATTACATAATAATAATACATAAATACATATTGACAGAAATATGCAGTATGAACATTAACAAGCTTAAGAATCGTTCCTGTTTTACTGTTCAGAGCAATTTATCAAATTCTTGTAACAACGTTAATAATAATTTAATTTACATATAGCTGTTGCCTTATCTTATTTACAATGCGAATTATAAATTTCATCAGAAAGAAGGTTAAGTTATGATTTAGCGCAAATAATCAGACGACGTGTGATAGTAATAAGTACAAATTAATTGTTTTAAAGTGAGTAAATAAATAAAACGGTAACATATTATATTATACTTTATTCATTATCGCTTTTAAGCATAATTCTTAAATTTTCAGATAAATCATTATTAAAATTAATTAATTACTTTACAATTCTATTTTTAGAAAATTTTAAAACAAATTATTTAATGATTGATAATACATTACCTAATTTATTGAACTATTTTAAATATCAATTTACCGCCATGTGATTGTTTAATTCTAAAATATTATATTTGAATATATTGCAATAATTTATAAATTAAAATAGATAAATATATAAAAATAAAATTATGTTTTTAATGGTCACTTAAATTAACTTCTTTATTGCTAGATGCTACGAAACCAAACAAATTGGAAACCCGCTTTGGCAATAGCAGGTGTCTTCATTGGATGTTGCAGTAATGTTGTTTTTCTCGAACTATTGGTGAAGTAAGATAAATAATTATTTACTGTAAATAACAAATACATTTATATATTATATATTTCATACATATTTCTCTTATACTATTTTCAATTAATTGTTTTTGAGTTTTAATATTCTCTTAATAATTTTTATACCATTTATTAAATTTTTACCATTCAGTTCTCTAAAACTTTATCAATTTGTTAATAAAAGTTAATATATTATTTGAATACGATTTTTTCTTCTTAAAATAACAAAAAAATTACACAAAACACTGACTGATTTTTACTTAAAGAGAAATGATCAAATTATATAATTTATGAATTCTATAAAAAAAATGTTTTAATTAAAAACTTCATATTCAATATTGATATTAAACAATTATATAGTAGTATATGATATATCACATGTACACATATGTTATAATATTATAATTTTATAATTAATAATATTGTGTTTACATTTATAAAATTTCATATTAAATATACTTGTAGATCGGATCCTGGATCTGGAAATCTTATTACACTATCGCAATTTCTGTTTATTGCGCTTGAGGGATTTATTTTTACTTCTAATTTTGGAACAAAAAAACCTAGAATAGGATTAAAACAATATTCGATTTTAGTCTTAATGTTCTTTGTAACCAGCGTTTGTAATAACTATGCTTTTGATTTTAACATACCAATGCCGCTTCATATGATATTTAGAGCTGTAAGTATCTTATCGAAAATATATGTATGAATTAAAAAAAATTCTTATATCTTAGTATTTTTTTAGGGTTCCCTAATAGCAAATATGATAATGGGCATAATTATTCTTAAGAAACGTTATATAGCTTCGAAATATATATCCGTTCTCATGATTAGTCTAGGAATTGTTATATGTACAATTATCTCAGGAAGTAATGTTGTAAGTAGTATTGTAAGATGTGTGTTTCCTATTAATTTTAAAAAAATGTTATTTTTTCTGTTTATAGCAAAGTACAGCAACGACTCCAATAGAAGATAACTTAGAAGAAAGTCAATTTTCTGTTTTCTTTTGGTGGACAATTGGCATATTGCTCTTAACCGCAGCTTTATTCATATCTGCGTATATGGGCATTTATCAAGAAATGTTATATAAACGTTTTGGAAAGCATCCATATGAGGCTCTTTATTATACGGTAAAAACAATTTAAAATATCATATCATCAGCTTTAAAATATACTATATATTTGCAGCATCTGCTACCAATTCCAGCGTTTCTACTTATGTACAAAAATATTTGGAGTCATACGCTTATAATGGCTGCAAGTGAACCAATCGAAGTTCCAATTTTGTCCAATATCGGCATAAATGTAAAGGTACCCATTACGGCTATCTATTTATTATGTAACGTAGTTTCTCAGTATGTATGTATAAGTTCGGTTTATGTTTTAACTACTGAATGTGCCTCATTAACTGTGACTCTTATAGTGACATTACGTAAATTTGTATCTTTATTATTTTCAATTTTGTATTTTAAAAACTCTTTTACTTTATTGCATTACGTTGGCACAGGTTTAGTTTTTATTGGGACAATTATTTTTACTGAACTTATACCACAAGTTGTTTCCCAATTTAAACCTGTTAAAGAAAAGAAAAAACTAAATTAATATAAATAATTCAAATTTTCACCACAATGATCAAACAAGAACAATTATTCAGAATGAACAAAATTTTGTCCTTTAAAAAGTAGTGTATTAAAAATAAGAAATTTTATTACAGAATACCAAATGTTCAATAACGGGTGATAAATTTATCAGTAGTTAAAATCGAAAATTTTGTAAATATTTGTGCTTTATGTACAAATGTATGATATTAATGCCTCTTATTATATATTGATAGATAAAATTTTTATGTTCATGTTACTGTATCTTCTATTTTAGCTACATTTATATTTGCATCCTCAATTATATATCTTTAAGTTAGTTATATTATATATAGTGAAGGGTATAAAATTTTAAATAAAAAAAGGTATTCAGTATAACTGAACAAATTAAAAACATACTTTTAGCAGTAGTAATATTTTTAATTAAGCTCAAAATAAAATAAAAAGTTTCTCTTACATATCATTTTTATGATTAATAATACTAGAATACGTGTACCTATCTTATGTGTATACTATGCACTATTTTTATTTTTAAATATGAACTAAAGTCTTTTGACGAAAACAAATATATATATTGTATTTTCATAATATCAATATCAAATTTATAGTGTATTATATATTATAAACGAAAAGAATTATAAACGAAAAGCATTATTCAGTTATCTGCATACAATAACGGACTTAAGGGACTCAATCCGACTCCTTAAGAAATTCTGACAAATTCTCAGCAAAATTAAATCTTAATTTTTTTAATATTTGCGTCATATAGTTTATTTTAATTTCCTTTGAAGTTAGAATATTGAAGAATATCGAACTTTTAAGTTTTTATGGCGTTTCCACACTAAATTTCCCTGATGAAAATTTCAACCTTTGTGGCCAAAAAACTATTTTAGAGAAAAGAAACATTACTGAAGTTAAATTTGACTTAAATAGTAATTGAATTCCATAGTTTTTATTTTCTAAAAATTAATACAAAGGAACTTAAGTTTGATTCAACTCAAATATCAGTAGATTTTAATCATATTGCGCATGTTTAAATTTTCTCTAGTTTTCATTTCCTAAAAGTTAATACAAAGTAACTTAAGTTTGATTCAACTCAAACATCAATAGATTTTAATCAGATTGCGTTTATTTTAGTATTAATCATTTTTATTCTCTAAACGATTATCTAAACGATAATTTATTAAAGAATGGTTTAACTCAAATAGCAATAGATTTTGATTGTATTGCGAATATTTTAATGTGAATTTAATCTTTATTCACAAAAAACTACACGAAATCTTCTATGGTCACAGTGGTCTGTCTCACTGAAAGCCATATTCTCTGTTAATATTTTATTCAACAAAATATACGTAAGAAATATACTTCGTTCAATTTTAATCATTCTATGCTTTTGGTGTTAATACCAAACTACAACTATATAGAAAATTATCTAAATTGTTCACACAGTTACAAGTGTTTATTTTTGCGTGCTTCATAAATATGACAATCTTTTCCACATAAAAAAATCGATATGTGAAATTGATAGTTCATTATGATTATAAATTAGTGAATTAAAATTCAAAAATTATAATGGTATTAACCTTCAAGTCATTTTTTAATGAGTTAGCACTTTTTGCTTTGAAGTTTGCTTCACATTCAAAGGTAGACTGATTTTGCAATACCATAAGTACTACTGAAGATAATTTTTTACGTAAAGATTAAAAAATGAACAAAATTTGGTGGTCCCCTGCACTATTTTAAAAGCAAATTTTTTAAAATTAATTTTGGTTAGTAAGGTAATGTTGAGCCTTTTCCGAGTAAGTGCATCTGGGCACTTTTACTCTTTGATAGCTGGCGGGCTTCTGCAGAGGCCCACCCATTTCACTGACTAATTTATGTATTCCTTATAAGCTTCATGATTATTCAATGACTGATCTAAAATCAATTTAGAATCAAATCTTTTATACTATATAGAAAAAAGCTTATACGAAATAATTGAACTATTTTAGCTCTAACTGTAAATATTTTTGTTCAACTAAATATTAAATAGATACAAGATAAATGTTTGCTATGTAATAAAAATGAATATATGAATAAAGTAAAAATGTAAGATTACATTCACACTATATCATTCAGAATCTTTCCCCAACCTTATTAAGTCAAGACAACGCAATTATTCACTAATTGAATTCAGTTACGTGAATAGTGCGTCGAAGCATTCTAATCGTACAACCCGCGGTGCAAGTTATATAATAAATTCAATTTTTGTAATAATTAAATTCAATTAAATTTTTTCTTTTAGCATTTGCTTTTCGAGTTTCTTAAGCTTCATGTTTGTTGATGATTGAATTGCAAATAATACTTACTACTTACTACACTTAATATATTTATATTCAATTGTAAATACAAATCATTTTTAAGAATTTAATTAATGAATTTATTTGCAAACTAAAATTTATATAAATTAGTAAAAAAGTGAGAGTGTATGCAAAAAACTTGCCAAAGCTTAGCCAGTGCAGACGATGGGTTACAATTGTGAAATAAAACACACATTCCTAATGGTATGTTCAGACACACATTTTGCAAAAAATCTTAATTTTATCTTCATTTCAGCGAAATTAAATTGTTTTTTCCATACAAAATTTAGTTTTAAAGTTAGAACGAAATTAAGAAAAATAAAATTAATTTCGTTGAAACGAAGGCTGAAATTAAAGGACATTTCAAATGCAACTATGTGTAAGATAAATTTTAAGTAAAAGATAAAGTTGAGATAACGAAAAAGTGATATTTTTTTAAATAAATGTCAATCTTAGTTGACTTTAATAAAACCGGGAAAATATTTTGAAAGTAGTTCAATTTTGATTATAGAGAAAAATCTATAACTGTCATTAATTTAAAATAGAGTGAAAAATAATAATACACATACCTGAAATCTAATAAAGCTAATAAAGCTATTCAATGCCATACTTTATAGTTATAATAATCAACTTTGAACATTTCCCAGATACAAATGGGGTTTAGAGCATGTAATTTTTATCGTTCGATTTTCGATTTGTAAACAAAAAACATATGATTTCCTTAATTTTGGGGAGTATGATCACTTTCGAAATTAACTTAATTTCATTTTTACGAAATTATCTATACTAGTACTATGTAACATAGCATAATAGTACCTTACAATTTTCTATTTTTTTTTTTACTACTAACAATAATTTTAAAGTACCTCAATTAGTATAACAAATAATAAAATAATGTATATATATATACATTATTAATAATATTACCTTTGCATATAATTATATATATAATAAATTAAATAATGTGAAATATTTTTTTAAAATTTTTTTCAGGTAATCTGGCATCTTTTGAAACATATGTGCTGAATCATTGCAAATATCTACTTCAAGTACATTAAAAATTATTCACTATTAGTTAAATTGCGTAACTGAAGGTTGGTTGAGTGTAGAGTCGCTTGTAAATTTTTTGAAAAATGCAGTGTCCTTTTTTGAGTCGATTAAGCGTAAATTATGTACGCAATTATGCAGAAACACTTTTTCAGACATATGGAGCATATTGTCCTGTTATGAGCAATGTTTTAAACAAATCTGTGGAGACTCGCCCCTATTCAAATAGTGCTGATGTAAACAAGGTTGAACCATTAAAAAATATTGTTAGCAATATTAATAAAAAAAATGTGACTTCGGTTGAACCTAAAAGAAATACTTTTCCTTATGAGGATCATTTTAACAATTTAATTTTGAAAAAGAAAAAGGATTACTCCTATCGCGTTTTCAAAAAGGTGAGCCGTTTAGCTGGAGAAGGCTTATTTCCTCATGCCATCGAACATTCCAATGGAGAGAAACCTATCACCGTTTGGTGTTCAAATGACTATTTGGGCATGTCAGCACACCCAAATGTCAAAAATGCTGTTGAAGAAGTAATTAAGTGTAATGGTGTTGGGGCAGGTGGTACACGTAATATATCTGGTAATTCCATATTACACGAGCGTTTGGAAAAACAGCTTGCTGTTTTGCACCAAAAAGAAGCAGCTTTACTTTTTACTTCTTGCTTTGTTGCAAATGATTCGACATTGTTCACATTGGCCAAAATGCTTCCAAACTGCCACATATTTTCTGATGCTGGTAATCATGCATCTATGATACAAGGAATACGCAATAGTGGAGTACCTAAACATATTTATCGACACAATGATGTTGCTCATTTGGAAAAAATGTTGCAAAGTGTTGATTACGACATACCTAAAATTGTTGCATTTGAAACTGTACACTCCATGACTGGTGCCATTGCACCATTGGAAGAGTTGTGTGATGTAGCTCATTCCTATGGAGCGATTACGTTTATAGATGAAGTGCATGCAGTCGGTTTATATGGTGCTCACGGTGCTGGAATAGGTGAAAGGGAGGAACTTTTACATAAAATGGATATTATATCAGGAACATTAGGAAAAGCATTTGGTAATATTGGCGGTTATATTGCTGGAACTTCGAATTTGGTAGATATGATACGGTCATATGCCGCAGGATTTATTTTCACAACGTCGTTACCTCCAACTGTTGTTCGAGGAGCTATGGAGTCTGTTAAAATTTTGGCTTCTGAAGAGGGACGCAATCTAAGAGCTCTGCATCAAAAAAACGTTAATTATTTAAGATCAAGACTTTTATATGAAGGTAAAAATCTTTATATTTATAAAATACAGCTTTATATTTTTAAAAAGTTATTTAGTCATATAACATTCAAAATTTCATCATAAATCCCAACACTAAACAAGTTCGTATGGCGTTTTAAATTCATATACAATACAGTTTCCCAACAACCAAAAAAACATTTCATATCCATTAAAAATTAAAAATCATCAACGTCACACAATTATCAAGTTTAATTCATTTAACATATATAAATTTATATTTTTTTTTAAACAGGTTTTCCAGTTGAAAAAAGTGAAAGTCATATCATTCCAATTCGCATTGGAGATCCCTTAAAAACAGCACAAATATCAGATATGTTGTTGCAACAATACGGACACTACATTCAGGCAATTAATTATCCAACAGTTGCGAGAGGGGAAGAAAAATTACGATTGGCACCAACACCGTTCCACACTTTTGAAATGATAGAAACCCTGATTTCGGATCTTAAGAAAACTTGGGAAATATTGGGTTTATCACTCGATATTTCTTGCTCATCAAAAAAATGTTTAGTGTGCAATAATGAATCTTTTTCCAAACAATATCAAAATGGAAACCAGTTAGACTGGATGGCAATTGAATGTTCAATACCAAACTGTCCACGAATGGTAGCAGCTAATGCAAATTAAAAGAAAAAAATATCATCAAAATGGTTATTTGTTGGTTAAAAGAAATCTATAAAATAAGATAAGGGTATAATGGTATTAAATAAAATAATCAAACACTTTTGAAGATGGTTTATTGTAAAATTGCAATTTTGTTTTTTTCCTTTATTATTCAATATTTATATAAAAGCTCTACAGATAATTTTTCTCATTTTTATTCCGGTTTTAGTTCAGTGCTTTTTTATTTTCTACTACTTTGTTTTATTTTTCACTTTTATATTAAATCGTATGTTTGAGGTAAGATTTACAGTGAATTCACACACAACTAAGTAGTATTGGCCCGATCGCGGGCTAATACTGTACGTATAACAATGTACGTATTGGAGGGCCGCAAAAACAAATACGTTATTATAAATACATTATAACATTATAAATACGGTTATAATGTTAAATTTAGTTTTATTCATTTATCAATTTAAATTCATTTATTTGGTATACCATAATAGTAAAATAATGTAGTTTTACAGCACAGCAAAAGAAAATTTGCGTAATTGTAGTAGATTAAAAACATCGCGAGCCGTATAAACATTAGGGCCGTACTTTGGTCAGCCCTGACGTAGAGTATCTCATATATGCTGTGCATAGTCAATATATAACTTAATTACTTTGGTAAATGATGTTGAAAATCTTTTATGCAAATATATTGACATAAAATATTAATAAAACTAGAGATAGTTTTATACTTTTCTACTATACTTATTCTGAACTATGACAGTATGGTGCAGCTATAATAAATCTATAAACATTTCTGAATCACGTTATTGTTTCTTGCACATCCGTATTAGTACAACAAAACGATGGTACGCAAGCCATAACTGATTTAATTAGCGTAGTGCTACAAGTAGGACAAATTTAATGTAACGACCTCATTTTTTAGTTAATTATTCAGTAATTATCAAAACTAGGGAATATTTATTTAAAGAAATCCAGCTTTATACATCTGTACATCTACTATTTGTCGTGCTCTTATAAACAGATTCGCTAACACTGGTGTAAAGTAAGGCAATGAATTGTAAATAGTTCATGGCCGGATAGTACTTTGATTAGGTTAGTTATGGATATTAACTTTCCCTGCTAGCTGTTTATGATCGATTATGATCGAAACATTAGAAGCTTCCATGTGTTGTGTTTGCTATGTATCAAGTAATAATTAGCAAGAGAATTCTGTCTAACAATACGTTTAGAAATCTAGTTCTTAATACTGTTAAATATTTAATTTTACGCTGCATTATAGAAATTATAAGAAATTTAATTCTTAATTATGTCAAATTTTTAAATTTACTCTGTATTATAAAAATTATAAGTGCAAACCTTAAAGTTATACATTAAGTACACACGACAATAATAAACGACATATATTGGCTTAAGTTAGGTGATTAGAATACCAAGGTAGTCTTTCGGTATTGGAGTATACAATTCAAGAAGGTTTAAAACCATTTCGAACCTTTAATGAACCATAAGGTACTGTTTAAGGTGAGTTTTTATAGTTCGTTATGTGCATCTAGAAATGTTTAAGATGGGTTACTTAAATTGGTGAGTCTCAAATCAGTCTCCCCAACATATTGACTACAGTTGATAATAACTGTTTCTCAAGTTTGTGTAGTATCTAAAAAATGCGTTCTCTCAACTACATTTTTGACATTTCTAGCTAACGGCTTTTGTTTAATCAGGAATGAAGCATAATCTAATATCTGATATCTTTAAGACTTATCTCAAAGTTATCGCCAAATATTTTCCTATTTGAAAAAGTCAACTTACGTACATATGTCAACATAACATTGATCCTTTTTATCTCTTATCAGTAAATGTCTCAATTTACGATTTTTCGAAATTGTGTAAATAAATAAACTTCCAAATTTTACCGAAAAGACTAAGGATGTTCTTGGAATAAAGATAAAATAACGCTGCTGGGAATATACAAAGCAACAGTATGAACCTCATAATTCTGCAAAATGCAATGCACAATATCGAAACCCAATTTTAAGTTGCTGTTATTGTATGTTGATCATCTCAGCCCAATATGCTGATTGCAGAAGTGCAATCTAATATCTACTTTTTTGCGATATAGATGTGCAAGCTAATGGCAACATATTTAGTACAGCTATCCCTCTACTCTGCACCCATCGCATCGATCCGTCTTCGTATCATGAATCGATACCTACTCCAATAGAGCTATCAGTGCTATCATATCAATATCAGTCGTTTCCCTGATATCTTTACGAACGACAGCCTCTTTGCTCAAGTAGCAAAAATTGTCCTAGCCCAATTGAGGTCAGTTGATAGACAGGATATATCAACACATCAATTAAAAATGTGTTCCCTAACTAAAGCAGTACTTTCTACGACGATGCCCAACTGTGCTTATATACTAATGCAAAAACTAATTTAACCCTATTGATCTTTGGCTTCGTCCATCACTTATTTCAAACAATCTCCCTTTGTGTATGGTCATTGTTTTCAAATTCCCTTAGAGGAACTACAGCAGAACATAAAAAGAAAAAGTTCACGAAATCTTCAAAAATTCATATTATTATAAACATCCGTTTATCATTTTTGTGTGATCTACTTGAGAAAAATATTATTCGCTATTCTCAAGCACTTGTTTATTTAAAAAATGACCTCCATCTTTGCCTTCTTTCTGCCACTACTCTGATAAGGTAATCTTAGGCCTTCCTCTTCATCTATTGCCTTGCGGATTATACGTAAGGGCTTGAAAACAAACTTCACTTCACAGCTTTCGTAAGGTGTGACCAATCCAACCAAACTTTCTCTTACGGATATTTGTGTTGATGTCGTATGTATTCATTTTTTTCAATTTTTTATGTTTTATTTCTTTTTTTACCCTTTTTTACCTTACCTTTTTTACCTTTACCTTTTTACCTTTTTTTTTTTTAATTTTAGGAAATAAAAAAAAGAAAATAAGTTTGTTTTTATTTTTATTAGGACTAAATCAAATATATGTTAACAAAACACTAAATTGATTCGGATCCGATATTATAAACGGCAGCTCTGAAACAAGTAAACTGTTGGAAACTCTTGCTTTAGTTTCGGTATTTATTTCAGTGGGTCCACTTATCGACGACAGCTTCAGGAACTATAAAAACGAATTTAAATATTAATCGCTCATAAATGTAATAACAAGTGTAACCAATTAATGTCAAGCAGGAATCAGCAGGGTTTATGGTTTGGTGGTAAGTGGTATTAATGGCTAAAAAATTATATTTATTTGTTTCAAACCACTTAACGGTTGGTTTAATATTTTTTATAAGGTTTTTCTTACATAATAGAAAAATAAATAATTACATTAAATTCCAAATCATTTAATATTACAATAAAAGAAAGTTAGCCGAAATGTATTTTTCATAAAAAATTATTTATGTTTTAATAATGACCAAGCTTTTCTCTGGGGTTTATGAGGTGTAAATGGTTTAGCCATCATCAGTGAAATCCAAAACAGTTATTTCTTTATTGTAAAATTTAACAGCACACTTTTTGGGGGGAGTCCTAATGAAAGTCGGGATTAACTGTATAAAAATATTAAAATTTTTAATTAACTTTGTAGTGTCTCTGAAAATAATGTTATTTTTTAAGTTTTACATACACAGTTAATCAAACCAAAGGATTTAAAAATATGTTTATGCTTATGTTGTCAATTATATTAAATTTGATGGAAATACGATTTTTAGTCATTCGACGATTAAAATCTTATTTTTGTTTTACAAGCTGCGATGTACCAATTACAAGTTTTAAAAAAACGTTTTAACTTTAGCAAGCCTATCTTCCGTCAACTTAAATCCTTTGGTTGTTTAGTATAGTACAAACAAAAAGCAATTAGTTGTTCTAATCGTTCTCAGCATTCTCATCATTCGAAGAACTTCGTTGAATCATATCAAACTTTTCATACATGTACACTGTTAGATATAAAACACTTTTATGCTATACATTTAAGACTTTGAAACACTATATACAACAAATGAAATTCCTAATATTTTATAACAAATTTTTTTAATTATTTAAATTTTTACTAGCACAATTCGATTTGTATCATATTTATATTATTTTAACTTTATTCTAATTTTCTGTTATTATATTACACAAAAATCTGTTAACTATATATGGTTTAAAAATTACATCGAAGAGATGGATGTTCTGTAGATTTTTGGAACATATTTCTAGTTCTCAAATATTTGACAACCCTTGACATATATTAAACTATAATACAAAGAACAATAAATACATAAAAAGTTTTCTCAACTTCCTCAACGGAAAAATAAAAATAAAAACATTTATATATAATCTGTTTTTACAAAAATCAATGTCAATAGAAATATATTAAAATGAACATACATATGTAATTATCTGTCATTTTACTAACGATCTACTATTTTGATTCCCCTGAAGAATATCACAATTGAATTAAATGCTTGGAGAAATCGATAAGTTTGAAATTATGAGAAATGCGATCATTTCAAATATATTATAATAATAGGGAAGAATCGTTAAATATGTATGGAAAGGAGGGCAATAAGTAGAAAGTCAATACATAATATAGCTATTGTCATAGGAGTATATAAATTATATATTATTGATTGTATGTGCTACTTTTTAAAGCAAAGGATGAAAATTAAAAAAGAACTCCAAAACGCATTTCAATACCTAATAAGATCGTATTTTGCATTTATATAATATGTTATATTGGTGTTGCCTTCAAATTAAAGTGCTAATCGTACAACATTACAAATTGTTTAGTATGTGAACCAGTTCAGATTTTGCATGCAGATATCAGTATCAGTTTGGAAGTTATTCAGTTAAAATTAAATTCAGTTAAATTTAATTCGATTAAGTCAATATTATCGAACTTTCGATTTTTGTACAGAGTTGACATTATACAGGCTTTTTTTGTTTTAGCAAAAAGTGAAATAACAAAAACAATATTTGCTAACTCTATGTTTGTAAATTTATGTTATTCGGTTATTATAACTTATTGTAAATTTTTATACATAGTTGATTTACTAAAAAATTTATACTTTAAAATTTTATATTAAATTAAATATTATAAAAGACTTATATTGTTAGC